CAAGTATAGGACTTGCATCACTATGCCAAAACTATGGCAGTGATGAGGAAGACTGAATCACTAATCTAGCTAGGGATTTTTGCTGAATCAAATTCGGAACCATATTCAAATCCCTTTGATAGATGATATTGAAGTACTTTTTCTTCTTTTTGTTGCAAAGGAACTATAATTTCTTGATACAACATTTTGGTTACATGATGTGGTGATGAAATAGTTTTCAAGTTAAAGTCTCTGCTTCATTCTTATCTCAAGTAATCACAGGGTCGGAACTGAAGAAACAGATCCACCCGAAAAGGTATAATCATAACCATAATCTTCCTTAATTGGATTTCATCTCGATGTCTGCATCTTCTTTAGGAACAGTACTGTCTGGAGAATCTCGTGGCAAAAGACCGAGAAGAGGCAGAGGGAGCAACGAGCTAAGATTGCAGAGAATAATAAGCGTTGATAGGTTACCGAAACTGTCTTTTGTGATGCCGAATACTTGAGTCAGCCCTGCGCCCATAAGTCCACCGAGAACACTGCCTCCATTGGAGATTGACATGAGTGTAGCGAAAAGAGTTGCTTCCATTCCTTCTGGACATAATCTTGCTGCTAAAACAAGAACCGGCATGAATGAAGCCTGTCACAGTTTTGATTTTAACCTGTCAGTGCATAAATATTGACACACTCCAAAATTGCTTGATCATCTATGGAATCATAACTCAAAAGCCTATGAGAAACTTCATGCTGACAACAAAAGCGTAGACCTGAGCAAGAACTGTTAGGATTAGAGAGTCTCCGATAGCAAACCACTCGTCACTTATTCCCAACTGCCTGTTAAATCCCGTCACAAGGAGAACCTAAAAAACATATGAGCAGTCGCATGAGTTACTACTGGAGGTCCAACAAGAATATAGATGGTAAAAGTGCGGATGAGACCAACCTGAGTCATGCCAAGACCCGAGCCAAAAATTGTAGTCACGAGAAAGATTTTTCTCAATGGTACAGTCTTGAGGAATCCATTGTACAATCCTACCCCAAGCAATGAGGCAATAGAGGTCACAAGTTTAACTCGTCCCAGAAACTCCGGAGTAAAGCCGAGCTTGTTAGTTCTGATGATAATTTTAAACCAGATAACAAAAGTTAGCAACTTGAGTAACTACACATCTCAGTGGATATGAAAACAAGCCTCTGACCCATGAACCAAGAAGGACATACGTGAAGTAAAACATTGCAGAATCCGAGTGTGGTGTGGCTTGCCATAAGAAAATAAATAAGGTCGGAAGAAAAACATTTGGTTGCTTAATGGCACCCCATAGCTGAACCATGTTCTGCTTCGAGGTCTGAAGAAAGCCAGGAATGACCAAGGTTATGTTCTCTTTCTTCCCTGATGCTGGTCTGACCACACGTTGTTCGTTCACGAGAACAGCAACTGCTGAAGTTATCAGAGGTAGTAAAGCTGTCACCCCGAATACAAACCTGAGGTATAACAGCTTTTAGAATGCCACCTAGTTAGTTATCTATGCCACGGGATGCCAAAAAAGAGAAGCTTCTTTCACGGGAAAGTTATGTACTGTACCTCACACCGTATAGATCCACCAGGGAGCCACTAAAGTAGGAACTCACAATTCCACCAAAAGCTGAGGATCCCCAGCATAACGATTGCAGGGACCCTGACACGCTTTGTGACTCACCACGAGCCCGTTCCACTACCATTGAATCGACTACCTATAAAAAGATAACCACTCAGTAACTCAATATGTTGAAATATCCAACTCTCCCTTGCAACTCAACCGAGCTAATCAAATCATTCAATGGGTTTAAAAACTTACAACATCAGAAAAGGCGACAGAGAGGGAACTGAGAAGTATACAAGAAGCAGCACTATATTTACTGTCAACAAATCCAGCCATCAAACTCCACGAAAATGCACCAAGGAGCCCCGAGAGAACTAGATACGACCTCCTTCGGTAGCCAAATAGAGGCACAGAATCACTGTGAAACGGACCAAGTTCATCATTACACTTCGCTATTGGTCACATCGGTCTTTCAAGATATAATCAAACTGTTAACAAGGAGCCATACCTGATAAAACCATAGAGAGGCTTCACAAGCCATGGTAATGAAGAGAGACCCGTTATCACAGCTGTCTAGTCAATAGGTATATTTTGTCAGCCTAATAAAGAGATTTCCATGAAATTCCAAATAGGGAACTTCAAAAGCATTTCAATCTATCTCCTTAAAACGACATTACAAGGACATACCTCTGCAGGATCAAGATGCAAGTCGTCTTTTAAATAGAAACTAACAGCGAGCCTCGCGAGTCCTAAAACACCTTGAACAAAATAGACCATTGCTACGGCGACATTGTCAGGCGATAATTCGACCCCGAAAATCTTGTTTCTGTTAGTAAGATTTCTTCCTTTACGAGGCTGTGTTCTAATAGACGTATCTCTATCTCCTTCCATATCAGTATTCGTTGTATCTCCTTCAGCTACACCTATACAAATTACAACACATTAGAAATGAGACATACCCAGTTCATAAACCAAACAAGAACCACAAAGCTCACTTATTAACAAACAAAAATGGCAATTAATCAGTCACTATTATCCCAAGCTTCCATTTTTGCTAAAAAAGTTAACTCTTTGGAGCCCGTTTCTGGAAAAAACCTAATCTTTCGCAATACCCAGAATTAGAAAGTATGTGAAATTGATGAGAGATGAGAGAACTTACTAATTCTAGAATCTAGAAGCAGAGATTCCTCTGAATCCCGCCTACGAGGAAGCTCAGGGATTGATGAAACTGTGGCGGACATATCTCCTCTGTCCGGAGGTCTTCTACGAATATTCCGGCGTGAGATTCGGTGAGATCGAGCGGTGATTGAAAGGCGTCTTGTTGTATCGTTGTTAACGGAGGACGAAGAGGAGAAGGTGGATGGCAAAAGTGTAAATTGAGAAGGTGAGATTGGGATAGAGAAAAGATTGTGAGTCGCCATTAAAAATAAAAACAAATTATTATTAACCTTTTCTTTTTAAGAAAACAACACTCCGTGTCTTGCGCTTTATTTAGAGCCCTGGATTGATTTTCCCTCCTCCAAATTTTTTTGATAAAATGCATTTACTCTCTTTTTTCTATTTTCTGACTTTTTATTAATACACCTTTTTATGATTGTTTTTTTTTTTCTTTTCTGTCTCATTAAAGTACAAAAACATTAAAATTAAGGGGAAAAAATCACACAAAATTAAATTTTAAAAGAAAACTACAAATATTTCTCACCTTATTTTTTTACTAACCAAACTATTGATTAAACACCGTAATTAATAATCCAGTTATGGAGAGGACTACTTAAAAAAAAGTTCAATAATTCACATTATTTCTTTTTTTTTTAATGGATTTTATTTGGAAAACGATCATATCAAGTGGTTTTTAATCTAA